GTACACCATAAACACGCACCTAAGCTTGGGCTGTATGTACACGTGCATCCATAAGGCCCGGCATTTGCATTGAAATCATAATATATTTATGTTTATATATACGATTTTTTTTATATTTATATTTATGATTGTATATATATCTATATTTATGTTTTTATTTATAAATACACATATTTATGTTTATACTTCTATAACTTTTATTACATTTTTTTCTTACAAATGTACATACTTATCTAACACATATTTTATTTGTTTATTATTTTTTATAAGTGATCAAACTTCTATTACACAATTCTTATTTTGTGTTTATTAAATATTTATTTAAATATAAATATGTAACTACCTATCAAAAGGTTTTTTATACAAATATAAATATTTGTATTATTTAAATTCAATTATTTTTAAAATGCACTCATTTATTTTTTAAAATATATAAATAAATCTTACTATGTATCTATTTATTTTCGCACAAATGTGTGTATTATATTATATAGAACACGTAATGTATTAATTTATTTTATTATGTTTGTATACATGTGTATATATTTATATATACACATGTAATTATATTTAATAACTTTTATAATGCATTTATTTAAGTTTATATAACTGTTATATACATTCTTTTACACATAATGTATTTTAATAAAATGTGCAGATTTTTATGACACAATTTGCCGCGTATTAATAAGTGTTTTGGTGCATGTAGTCCCATCTCTTTCAATCTTTTGTTTCTCTCTTCCTAAACCCTAAACCCTAAACCCTAAACCCTAAACATTAAACCCTAAACCCTTTTGTCGGGCAAAGCGTTTCTTGGAGTTGGGGCGCTGCAGCGCTTCTGTTGGCCTCGAGTCTCGAGAGCCAGGCTGAGGGTTTAGGGTTTAGGGTTTAGGGTTTACTTGTTCAGGATGAAGTAGTAGATTTGTCAGGTGCGGCAAAGAGAGTTTTAATTGGACTTAAATTGAACTTTTCCGATTTCTAAATCCCCAAACTTTTCCTCGTTTTTGCACGCAAATAAATACTCAATTCAAAAAAGGGTTTTTTGAGCAGAAAAGTGAGCCTTTGCACTTTTTACATGCAAATATGAACTTTAATATTTAAATTATAACTAGGAATTATATTTCCACTTCTCAGATTTTTATTTTTCAAACTTTTGCCTCTTTTGCGACTCCACAGCTGCGCATGCACGCGGTGTATGTACACCCCCGCAATTGCATGCATGCTTTCATGTATTTTAAGTGGAGGCTTTTGGAAAGATATATTTTGCACTATTATTCATTTGCATCCCCTACACCCTAAACCCTAAACCCTAAACCCTCAATATATCAAGGCAGCGCAGTGGCTGCAACAAAAATATATTTTAAATGATGAAGTGGAAAACTTTTGAGATATATAAACACTGAAAAAAGGCAAAACCTGTTATGACACTGAAATTCATCTTGTTTTGAATCCATCAAGTATATTTTATTTAATTAGGGTTTAGGGTTTAGAGTTTGTGGCACTGTCCAGAGGCGACAAGGGAGGAAGGTAGCTACAGGGAGTCAATCCCAACAAAAGCAGCAGCAGCAGCAGCAGCAACAGCAGCAGCAGCAGCAGCAACAGCAGCAGCTGCAGCAACAGCAATAGCACCAACAACAGCAGCACTATCAATCCAAATTGAAGCAGCAGCAGCAGAAGCAGCACTAGCAGCAGCAACAATCCGCTTTGTAGCAGCAGCAGCCGCGCGAGAAGCAGCAGCGCATCGATTAGCACCAGCAGCAAGAACTGGTGTCCTTGCTGTAGTTGCTGCTGGCGCTGCTGCTGCTGCCGCTGCTGCTGCTGTGCCGGAGGTCTCAGCAGCAGCAGCAGCAGCAACAGGAGCACCAGCAGCAGCAAGAAGAGCTACTGAAATTAAACTTCAAATTTAGTTCTTTAAATGAATTTAAAAAAGGGTGGAAATAAAATAAACTGCTGGAGGGCTGCAGCGGCTCCTCAGGACACTGGGGCAGCAGCGCTCCCGAATTTTGTCGGATTAACTTCGTTTTAATTGAATCTAATTAATTTAATGAATTTAATCAATTTAATTTAATTAATTTAATTCAAATTTAGCGCAAAATTGCGGTTTAATTGAACTCTGGCGCGGCCGTCCGCGCGCAGAGCAAAGACCGCGGTTTGAGGGTTTAGGGTTTAGGGTTTAGGGTTTGTCGGGGCCCCCGGGGGGTCTAGCGACAGCTCCCGGGCCCTCTTTAGACCATTTAAGAATTAAATTTAACAAAAAAGAATAATTAAACAAATATAAAATGCCAAAGCGCGCAAATTAGCAGCACATTTACTCGTAGCTCCTCTTATTCTGTTCGGGGGGCCCCGGCTCCCCAGTCAACTCTTCCCTTTGCTGCTCAGCAGCAGCAGCAGCAGCAGCAGCTGCCGGAGAGCCCGCAGCAAGGGGCGCAGCAGCAGCAACAACAGCAGCGGCTGGAGGGCCCGCAGCAAGGAAAGCAGCAGCAGCAGCAGCGCTGCCAGACGCGTCCCGCGGCGGCCCCCAGCGCAGCAGCAACAGCAGCAGCAGCAGCAGCAGCAGCAGCAGTTCGCTCCAAGCCGCGTCAGCAGCAGCAGCAGCAACGCAGGCGATGACTTGTGAGTGGGGGGAGCAGCAAAAGAGACTTTTGATTGAAGAAAGCAATGCGTGGTTTGACAGACACGGGATGGTGCTGCAGCAGCAGCGGCTGCCGCTGCAGCTGCCACCCAGCTGCAGCAGCTGGGCCGAAGTAGCAGCACAGCTGCAGCAGCACCCTTTCCACCTCAAGCTTATAAACCACCAGCGGCTGCTGGCCAAGAGAGTCAAGGCCAACTGGAGCTTCTCCGGTCCGCAAAACCCTAAACCCTAAACCCTAAACCCTAAGCCCTAGGCTACTGCCTAGCGGGCAGCTAAACCCTAAACCCTAGAGCCTGAGTCTCCGCCCAGGGGCAAAGCTGCAAACTGGTCTCGGGGCTGCGCGCCCAGCAGTAAGACGCCTTAGGGTTTAGGGTTTAGGGTTTAGGGTTTGCGGGCGCGCAGCTTCTGCAACAAACTCCCCCAGCAACCCCCGCAACAGCCACCTGCCCTTCCGGCTGCAGCCGCTGCCGCGTGCTGCTGCTGCTGCGCTGCTGCAGCTGGGCAAAGAAACCCTCAGCAGCGATTTTGATGGTTTGCTGCTGACGGTGCAGAGCAAGCGTTTGGCCCCCAAACCCTCGACTGAGAGGCAAAGAGTGGGGTTTGGGCTTAGGGTTTAGGGTTTAGGGTTTGGGGTTTGGGGTTTGGGTTTGGCGCCGACCAGGGGCTCGGGGGCCTGGGGCTTAGGGTTTAGGGTTTAGGGTTTAGGGCTTGGAGGGGCTAGCTGCGCAACGGAGGGGAGTGTGGGAGTGCCGTTTGCGGGGGTCCGCAGTGTTGTGAGGGGCTAGGGTTTAGGGTTCAGGGTTTAGGGTTTGCGGGCAGGTGCTGAACATCACGGGAATCAAAAAAGTGTTTGCGGGATGCCTCATTGAGTCTTTGGCCTCCAACGAAAGGCAGCTAAAAGCCCTCTGGGTAAACCCTCGCCTCTCCGCCCGCAGCACGCGGCTGCTGCTACAGGTGCTGCTGCCCCGTGCAGTGGTGGAGGCGTTTGCGTTGGAGGCCTTTACTTACCTTCCTGCTGCTGCTGCTGCTGCTGCTCCGCAGCAGCAGCAGCAGCAGCAGCAGGCCAGGGTGCAGAGCTTCAAGTCCGTCTTCGTCGACAGAAGGGACCTCGACTTGTGGCCCAGACAGTGCTGGATGCTGCTGCCGGCAGTCAAAAACGTAAGGGCAGCAGCAGCAGCAGCAGCGCAGCAGCAGCAGCAGCAGCGCAGCAGCAGCAGCAGCAGCAGGGCGTGTGTCGCTGTCTGCGCGGTCTTTCTCGAGGGTTTGTGCGGGGCTGCAGCAGGGCAGCTGCTGCTGCTGTGGCCTCCACTGCCTTTGTTTTTGATTGTCTTTTTCTTTTCTTTTTTTGTTTTTTTGTTTTTTATTCTTAAATTAGTTTGGATGGCCTCTGCATTACGACATTAAAGGCAAAGCAGCAGCAGTTCACCTCGACGCAGGCGTCAGCGGCAGCCTCAGCTGCAGCTGCCACCTCTCAAGGGTAGGGTTTAGGGTTTAGGGTCTAGGGTTTAGGGTTTAGGGTTTAGGGTTTAGGGTTTGGGGTTTGGAGGCGGGAGCCAGCAGCCGCCCCGGCCGCAACTGCTGTGCGGTGAAGCCAGGGTTTAGGGTTTAGGGTTTGGGGTTTTGGAAGGGCTTGGACGCTGGGGCTTGGGGGATCAGGGTTTAGGGTTTAGGGTTTAAGGTTCGCACTCCAGACTGCTCCCAGCCGACTTGACTCTGAACTATCGCTCTGCCTTCTGCTGCTGCTGCTCCTGCTGCTGCCGTGCTGCTGCTCCTTCTGCTACTGCTGGTGCTGCTTCTATCGCTGCTGCTGCTGTCGCTGTTGCTGGTGCTGCTTCTGCTGCTGCTACTACTGCTGCTACTGCTGTTGCTACTACTCCTGCTGCTGGTACTACTGCTGCTACGGCTGCTGCTGCTGCTGCTGCTGCTTAGCGCTGCTTGCGAGCGAGTGAGCAGGCAACAATTGACAGGTTTTTGATGGTGACGGAGCCGCTGCTGCATTTGCTGCTGCCGCCTCGCGCTGAGCGTCAGCAGCTAAAGATAGACACTCACCCGCTATTTTGCAGGCAGGAGGGGGCCCCCGGGGGGCCCCCCAGTTCTGCTGCAGCAGCAGAAGCAGCAGCAAAGCGGAGGCAGGGAAAGAGAGGCAGGCCGGGGACGCAAAGCCCAGCAGCAGCAGCAGCAGCAGCAGAGGAGCGCCGGGGCTGGCGCGAATTCATCAGCAGCGGGAAAGACGAAGAACTCGCCAAAGAGGTGAACAGATGCTGCTGCTGCTGTCGCTGCTGCTGCTGCTGCTGCTGCTGCTGCTGTTGCTGCTTAACCTCCACGGCAAATACGAAGGCAAGAGCGGCCGCCCGCAGCTGTCTTGGAGGCTGCTGCTGTCCACATAATGCATAAAATACATTTCATTCAAAAATAATAATAAATAAATTGTTTATTTAGAATTCATATTTGTGTATCTACGTTTTGATGTGCTTTCATTTTCTTCTGCATGCACTCCTACTTCCCATCTCTGCATGCATGCATGTGGCCAATACGCAAGCGCGCATGCATGCATGCATTTAGATATATATTGAAACATATAAATATATGATTATGTTTAAATATAAAAAGCATGTAAATATATGATTATTAAAAGAAGATAAATAAATCAGTTATGAAGAAACAGTGTTGGGTGCAGGCGTCGTGCTTACTGCTGGGGTGTACGTACACCCCGCCGTCGTCGCTGTTCAGCAAAGAAGACGAGTGGTGTGGACTGACAGCAGAAGATGTTGTGAATTTAGTTTCCGATTGTGAAGAAGAAGCATCTGAAGAGGGCCTTTCGGGTGTACAGACACCAGCTGTACAGACACCCAAAGACCCCCCGCCACCCAGGCGGAAACCGGCCCAAAGCGCGCCGCGAACTGCAGCAAAAACGACAGCTCCAGCAGCAGCAGCAGCAGCAGCACCAGCAGCAGCAAACTCTCAAGCGCCCAGGCCGGCGCTGCAGCCAACGCGCAGCTCGGCCCGCCTCAGGGCCTCCCCGGCAGCCACAGCTAGCCCAGAAGGGACCCTCTGGGGGGCCCCCCGGGGGCCCCTTCTTAGGGCCTCTCAGGGGGCCCCCAAGAGCCCCCGGGAAGAACCCCAGGGGCCCCCGCCAGCCCCGCGGCGAAGCCTGTCTGACAATATCAGAGGGGGCCCCCAGGCCGACCTCTTGGGGGGCCCCCAGGGGGGCCCCCAGGGGGGCCCCCAATGGGGCCCCCCAGAGGGCTTACAGGGGGGCCCCCCGGAAGCCCTTGGGGCTGGGGTTTCGTTTATGGTTCGTCGAAGCTCTCGAGTGGCAAAGAAGTGCCGCCAGGACTTGTCTTGTTGAATTCTGGGGATTTGTTTGCCATTTATTGTTTTGAATTAAGAATTTAAAATGTTTTATTTCATTAAAAATAGTTTTAGTGGGCCCCTGTGGACAAAGCCACACAGAACTGGCTGGCCTGCCGCCTTGCTGCCAATGTAGCTGTCTAGCTGGCCCGCGCGGCTAGCTAGCTAGCCAGCCTGGCTAGCTAGCTGGCCTTGGCTAGCTGGCTAGCTAGCTGGCTAGCTAGCTGGCTAGCCAAGGCCAGCGGGGAGCTGCGGCGTTGTAAGACTGGGGGTGTTTCGGGGGTCGAGCGCAGCTTCTGTAGATCCGCCGCTGCCTTTGGGTCTTCCAGAAGATTAAATTAGTATTTGAAATTGAAATTAATTAATATTTAAAATTAAAATAAATAGAAAAGAAACAAAAATGAAAGACAAAGGCTTTAGGCGGCGCCCCAGCCCCCGTGTCCACTGGGACAGACCGGGGCGCCTGGAGTTGGAGCCCAGGGTGTTCAGTGGCAATCTGAAGGGAGGTTTATGCTTCAGATCTCCTGATATTAGAGGGTTTAGGGATTAGGGTTTAGGGTTTAGGGCTTAGGGCTTAGGGCTTGGGGCTCAGGGCCGGAAGGCCAGGTCTTCTTTCTGGGGCCTCACGGGCGCTGCCGACGGCTGGAACGGTCTGCAGCAGCTGCAGCAGAGCCCCTTTATTGCATTTGGCTATTTTCTTTTGAATGAATTAATAAAAAACTTTTATTCAATTGTTTTCGAGAAAAGAAGAGCGAGGCGAAGAGGACGAACGCAGACAGCAGCCCGTGGAGCCCTGGTCACCGCCGGCCCGCCTCCAACACCCGATACACTTTCTTGCGCTTCTTTCTAAACCCTTTTAATGCATTTTTCCGAATTTTCCCCACCCAACAAGTCCATTTGAGGCTGTCGGCGTTGGCTGCAGCTCGTTAGCGCTTGGAAGGCTCCCGGGGTGTACGTACACCTCAGAAACCGCGCGCAGCCGCGCTTTCCAAAACCCTTCACTTCATTTCAAATTCAAATTTTTTTGCACAAGTTTGCAGCCCAGGGCCCCACAGCGTTCTATGGAAGGGTGGGGCTCGAGGCCACGGGCGCCTTGGCCTGTTTCATGTTGTATTTGTTTTTCGACTGAGTCCTTTTGAATTCCTTTTCCGACCTTTGCCCCCAAAATGGCAATCAAAATGAAATCGAGACAGTCCCGCCTTCTTGTCTTTTCCTCTTTTCTGGCTGCTGCTTCTCTGCCACTTTGTCTCGCCGCCGACTCTTTCTGTGAGCTCAAATAAGCAAATTAGAAAAAAGAAAAAAGGAAACAGTTGATGTCTAAACAGAGTGTCTGTACACCTCAGCTGCAGCGGTGAGCGTCGGGAGACGCTTCTCTGGCGACCCCCCAAACCCTAAACCCTAAACCCTCGCTGCTGCTGTGTCGCCGGCGTGTGTGCAGCTCTTCTGGCCGTCCAGCAGGTGCTGCCCAGTCTCGTGCTTTTGCCTGAAGATGTAAAAGTGAAACAAAATGCAGAAAGTTTTTTCTTTGAAGATTCAGAAGTGACGGGAAAACTCGAAGAAGGAACTGCAGTCATTAAAGTGGCAGACAATGCGGGGCCTCAGCGCCTCCAGCTGTTCACTGTCACTTATGCAGGCGGAGCCAAACTCACCCCAGGTAACGCTCGCCATCTAGGGTTTAGGGTTTAGGGTTTAGGGTTTGAGGTCTGGGGCCCAGCACCCGCAGTTTAGCCAAACGAAGTGAAGCTCTAGCAAGAATTGAGAACGTGTAAATTAAACGCGCGGGCTTCCGGTCTGGTCTCTCAGGTTTAATAACAGGGTTTAGGGTTTAGGGTTTAGGGTTTAGGGTTTAGGATTTGTGCTGCGCAGTGGTGGCGGCCTCGGGGTTTCCCGTCTTCTGCGACTACCGGCCAAACCGCCAGTGCTTCACAAAAAGTGGCGAATCTTCTGTTGAATTTTTGTCTCAAAATGCAATTTTAAAAACAGAAACAGGAAGCGAGTTGGTCTATTTGAAGTACCCCGGCGGGGGCAGTGTCCTTGCCCGTGCGTGCTGCTCCCCCAAACCCTAAACCCTAAACCCTAATTTCTAGCAGCGGAGAGCAAACACCGCTTAGCTTAGACCACCTTGTTTACACAATTAGGCGTGAGTAAACCTAGCCATATGAACAGAATTAATTAAAGGCTGCTGGGCCTTTGTTTTCCACCCGCGTACAGGCAAACACTGCAAGAGCTGCAGCTGCTGCAGCAGCTGCTGCTGCAGCTGCTGCAGCAACTGCTGCAGTGGCTGCAGCTCTTGCAGCAGCTGCAAGCGGAGTAGCAGCACTGTACTCAAGCGCTCACAAGGGTGCAGGATTAAATGGAGAAGTCTCAGGAGTAGTGCAGCAAAGCAGCACAGCAGCTGTGCTGCGTTTAAGCAGGAAATTTGATGAAAATTGAATAGTTTGTTTGGGCATTTTATTTTTTTGTTTTGCTGCTCTTTTTATTTTTTTGTTTTGCTGCTCTCTTCAGGACCGGCGCAGGTGAACCCCGCAGCAACTTCTGCTGTTCTGGGACAATTCAACGGAGAGTTGGAAATGAAGACGCTGAGTGAGTTTTTATGTGGCTCGCAAGGTGTATGTGCAGGCCTGCAGGCGTGCATACGGGGTGTACGTACACTGCTGAGGTGTACGTACACCGCAGAAGAAGCCCTGCGTCTTTTCAAAAGCCGAAATAGTCAACTTTCAGCTCTTCCGTGCCACCAACAGACTTTCTTTGTCAGATGAGCTGGCTTCCATCTTCTGAATTTAAAGCCTCTGCAACTTTCGTCTGCATTTGTCTTTAGCCGCCAGCACTCTCCTGCCTTGCCCAGCAACATGTTATTCTTCCTGCTGCTGCTGCTGCTGCTTTTCAGATTGCTCTCCTTTTGGCCCTGTGTCGTTTCCCCGCCAGCTGGACTCTTCTTCGTATTCTCTGGTGGAGCAGAGCGAGGGGGACCTCCAGTTTTGCGAAGTGACCCCCCCTTTAGTGACTGGAAAACAAATAGTGGCAGTTTCAAACAACAGAAGGGCCCCCCCCATTTACTGCGACAGCAACTCCAACACTCTTCTTTTCTTTGAGCCCCACGCGCCCCACACAAACCACAAGTTCCCTTATTCCCAGCAAAGTACGCAGCAGGGCCTGCGAGCCGAGGCCCCAGAAAAAGTGCCATTAAGATTCAAAATGTATTCCAAGCCAGCCTCTAGGCCAGTCAGCAAACCCTAAACCCTACTCCCTAAACCCTAGACCTGCTGCGCTGCAGCAGGGGAGCGAAAGCAGCAAAACTGCACCTAAATTGCCCCCCCTAGGCCCGCCATGTGCTGCTGCTGTGGGGCCCTCTGCCCGCAGTGGAGCTGAAGCTAACTGGGCAGCCAGCGACTTGCGAAGTTTTGAAAGAAAGTCAAGAACTTCTTTTATCTGTAAAGCGCTTCGAGGCGGGGCTTGGGAAGGCGAGGGAAGAGCAGCTTTTTGTGTTGACTTCTTTCGAGGGAAAACCAACTTTGTTGCCAAGTCAGCAAACCCCCTGGCTGCATGCAGTCCCCTCTTTCTTTGGCATTTGCTGCCTCTCTGAGGGGCCCCCCTGTCTGCTGCGCCTTTCTTTCTTTGCAGCCAGAGTGCAGCTCTTCTCCGAAACAGAACTGGGGGCCCCCTGCCCCTCCCAGGGCTACCACACTCTCTACCAGCCCAACTACTTGCTGCACTCTGCAGTGCCCCACGGGGCCCCCCTGGCCTGCCGCCGCCTCAGCCTGTCTCCCCTCAAATCAGCAGAAAGAGATGCCCTCGTGCTGCAGCTCCCTGGCAGCAGCTTCTGGATGGAGCTTCCTGCGGGTTCTTTGCTTTCGCAGTCCGAGGGGGGCCCCGGGGGCCCTGCTGCCAGGCTTTGGGTTTACCAGCCGGTCTTTTCCACTGGAGAGGCTCTTAGCGTCACAGAACTTCGTCAGTTGGCACTCCAAATGTGGCCAGTCTTCTGGGGCTGAGGGCCAGTGGTCTGGGCTGGGGGTTTGCAAGTGTTTGGGGTCTATGTGGAGTTCCGAGCAGCAGCAAACCGCAGCAGTTTGCTGCTGTTCTACAGGTTTTTTGGCATTTTCTGCGGGGCTTTTCTTCTTTTAAACAGGTGTTATGGCGGATGACTCCGATCTTGGCCACGCTGTGATCTCCACCTACGAAAACTCCAATGGGGAAAGCTCGGGGCTCTTGTACCAGCAAGCTGATGGCCAGAGGGTGGCTGTGGGCTATCAGAAAGAAGGCATTTTTGTGGGGGTCTCGGCGGCAACATTTTTTACCCTCGATGCACTGGACTCAAAAGCCATACTGGAGTACAAAGTGGTGCAAATGCAGGGAGGGGCTTCTCTAGTGCTGAGTAAGCAAATGGCAGCAGCAGCACCAAACATAACGGCTGCAACACGAAAGCAAATCTGTTTTTCCAGCTTTTCTGCGGCTGCTAAAGCTGCATTTTCGAGATTGCACATCTCCTTTTGTTTCCACCACCTCAATAGGGGTGGTGAAATCAGCCAAAGCCTTACACTAGACCTCAAAATAGGCAAAATAGCAAATACAGCCTGAGCTATCTACTCAGAAGTAGCGGCCAAGGAGCATCCCTGCATTGTATTCATATGTACGTGGCAATCTGTTGAACTACCTTGCGCATGTGCTTTCAATTTCATCCATGCCATGTCATCTCTGCGTTTCCCTTTTGCTCAGGCTCAGTCCCTCAGACTCTCGTGCTGCAGCGTAAGCCTAGCCACACATTGCTGCTTGACTTGAGGCCTAGGCTGGGGCTCGGGGTGTTAGCCTTCAAATGCCCTTTAAGCTAAAAGCTTAACTGTTTCTGTGACTGTTTCTGTAACTGTTTCTGCACTTAGGCGACATCGCGCACTACAACTCTGCTCACCACAGGACTCCATCTGTCGGTGAGACCCTTCCTTCCTTAGCCTCTTGTGTCTATTTTGCAATAATATCATACTCCTCAGAGGTCCATTAAATGCAGTATACAACAAATTCTTTTGTGTGGAGGTATCCTCGTGAGCAGTTCAAAAAATAGGGCCTCTGGAGAGTAAAATGCTGCATTTGAAATCGCTGTTTCTGCGGAAAGCTGAACTCTGCGGGTAAATAAAGTTTCAAGAACAGATAATGCATGTCTGCAGGACGCGACGCGGAAGATATGCTCAGCATGCTGCACAGGCTCAGTAACCATTATTCTTCCCAGGGTTCGTTTCACCGAAAAATCAAGGATATTCCAATTCAATCAAGCATTATAGGAATTAGCAAACCCGGAACAAAGGTTCTCTGAAACACGCACTCATAATAATGGAATTCGTATTCATTTTCCTATGACGTATTAAGCATTTGTGTGCTCTAGGCATTCCTATATATGTGTGTATACATACACTCATATACATAATGAATACAAATATGTATATATGTATATGTATATATATGTATATATATATATATATACACATATATATATATAATGTGAGCATACATTTTCATGCATACGTTTACTGCGCCTGATATACTCGACTAAATAGAAGGTCATAGCACTATTTAAAAGCCCGAAGCTGAACTAAGATCTTATGCTTTAACTCTTAGGGAGCCCCGCAGACACTAGATGCAGCACAGCAAACGAAGCTTCTGGGCTATGGCCCTCTCAATCCTTTGTGACTTGCATTTGTGGCTGAAGGGGAAAAAGAGGCGGTCAATGGAGCTCTGATGGAAGTGAACAACAAAATATGTGGGTCTCGAAAATGAAACAATACACAGTTAACCATTAGTCACTTAAATTCAGCATCATGCCTCAAAAAGTGATAATTCTACTGTTGTACTGCTGGCGTTGCTGCTGCTGCTGCTGCTCCTTCCGCAGCAAAGATCAACGGTGCTGCTAAGGAAGTCGCTACAACTATGCTCCGCTACAAGCCGCAAGGTCTGACGACAACCTTCCTCCCCATAGCACTGGCTTTGCTACATGTAAAGCCAAGGCTTGCAGAAGCACCAGTTGCTGCAGCAACGACAGCTGCAGCAGCAGCAGCAGCGACAGCTAGAGCTGCCGCTAAGATTAAAAGCCTAAACGGCAAATACTGAGAGTGCGGATATGTGCTTAGGGGGAAATCTGAAGAAAGTCGTTGTGACCTGGACGTATACGGACGGTGAGTTCTGTCTTAGATAAATACAGGCTACTACTGCTCCTCTGTGCCCAAGATTTTTCTAGCTAATGGTCTCTAACCAGCATAGGTGCATGGCACATAGGTGCAGGCAAATAGTAAAGATAAGAAATAGAAAGAGGAATATAAACTGACAACTGTTCTGCTGTTATATTCAGCGAGTGGGGAGTTATCCGTGGTGCTGAGACTTCCAGTGAACATGCTGGACTCTCCGACGAGCCAGGGCTTGCTTCAGCAGTTGCAGATTTCGTTGAGCTTGCTGATGGAAGATGCTGCTTCTCTTCCCCGCGCGCTGGCGAACCGCCTAAGCCTCTACGGCACGGCTCTTCATACACTTCACAAAATTCTAGGAAGTGGACACTGCAGCAGCTGCCCTGAAGGCAGGAAGCCATGCAGCTTCTGCCGCGCTGTCATGTTCAGAGATTTTGTACATGTCACTATTCAGGGTGAGATGCACAATGCATGGGTAAAAACACAAGAAATGGGTCAACTAATCGGCATTCAGAAAAGCATAAGCAAAAGGATAGTCAGTTGTGGAATATGTTGCCACAGTGTCTTGTAAGCTTCACTGAAACAGCCGACAACTGGAAGAACGCTTGTATGGAGATGTTCATCTTTTATACTGTGCTTTTCTTAGGCTTGGGACTCAGCAGCGATACCATGCCAGACTCTCTGTCTTGGGCAGAGTTTAGAGGACAAGATTTTCTTCTTTTCGGTGGGGCTCAGAAACTATGAAGCACCATACTGCAGGCCTTAAAACCCATCATTCCGCGTGCAGCTCCTTGTCCCTCTTCACAGAGTTGCGGCACTGATTGTCGTTATTTTAACAAGTTGTGCCTTCTCAGTGCGCTGCATGGCTAGGGCCCCGATAGAATGTTCTAGTGCATCTTCCGTTGATCTTTCGCAGCGGAGACTGCTTCGGGTCCTGCACTCTTGGGAGTCGAACTTGACTTTCACACGGACATGTGTAAGCCCCATAACTTCAACAGTAGCGGAGGCAAACGCTGGACTTAAATCTTGCCTTCTGCGTCTCTCCTTCTTTCTCCTGTACACTCCACACAAAATACGTAGCTGCAGGATGAAGCACAAATGGAAACTCAGAGCAATAGGTGTGCTGCTGAACTGCTGCGGGGGTCTCTTCCCCCGCTTCCCTTCTGTAGCGAGTGAGTGCTGTTTTGCACGTTTCTGCCGTGCAGTGACCCGCCCTTCTCCCCGCCGGAAGCACTTGCCTCAGCTGGCGACTTATGCCGCAACGTGTCTGAATGCTCACATTACCAGCATGGTGGTGAAACAGAAGAGCAGCCGCTCCCACTGCTACGGGCTGAACAACTACATGAAATCCCTCGTGCAGACCTTGCCAATGGACAAGTTCGCGCCTCTTATGAATGCTAACGTATTCAGAGACGCCGTCATCGAGGGTTGCAATGGTGACTGCTTCTTAAAGCCAACCAAATCGAATGAGCGAATGATAGAAACATAAATGCCCACTTCTGGCTAGTAGTAGAGCATGTATGACGTTTCAGAGTGCGCTGCCAAGTGGATCTTTTGCTGCTGCTGCTTGAGCAATGCTCTTGCCGCTTCTGTGATGTCATTTGATCCCTTCAGTCCGAGTCGAAGACGCTGTTACTTCTTGTCTTGAGGGGGACGGAGAATTGCTGGCTCTGCAGCGTCTACCCGAATTCAAAGTGGATGGCCACAGCGCCATTTACGACTACGTTCGCTCTCTGTTATCTCCAGGTACCGCTCCAGCAATTTTGTTTCCGTGGCCAAATGCCTTTTTGGTGATGGGTGATTCTCAAACGCCTCAGCTTGATCAAACACAGTTATTCATGCACGCGCTTGCTGCTGTCACTGCAGCCCCGCTGGCAAGCATTGATTTCTCAACGATAGACCTCAGCAGCAAGCCGCATGTCTTGTCAGCCGCCCCCACCCTCAGCGAGTTTCTCAGCCTCTGTAAGTCAGCCCTTCAGCGCCGTGCTACCAAACTGAACAGAGCTCCCAAACTGCGATGTTTGACTGTGTCGTGTAGTGATAATTGGCGCAATTTCATGCATTCTCATTACTTCCCCCGCACCAAAGCAGAATTTGTACGTTGGCTGCTCCACACCTTGTCATTGTTTGCTAATGCTTCTCACTTTCCTTTACTGTTGTGTATTTCTGTTCATCGCATTCTTACGTCAGTGGCAAAGGAGGCGGGCAGTAGCGGGACTCGGCCGCTGGTGGATTACCTCTTCCGTGACGAGGGCAGCAGTCAAACTTCCGTCATCAGTTCTGGCATTGATGATGCTGTCGCTGCAAAGGGCCACACGCCATCTGCAGGCTCCACGTTTTACGTTCGTTTATGGTCCCATCCCGCGAAGGGCCTTAGCATACTTGAAGGCATTTTGGCGAACTCAGAAACCTCTCAAGAGGGGTCCAGTGGCCAGTCAGACACTTCAGAAAGAAGTGAAGGTAATCAAATCTAGAAATAGCTTTTTACTCCGTTCATTGCTCCTTCACATAGTTACTACCTGCAAACGTACTCTACCTACTTCTATGGAGGTGGTTGCTGATCAGATAGCGACAGCGAAGCTGTACAGCAAGTCCAAGAATACTCGCGTAGGCTGCAAAGGCAGCAGCCAGATAAGCATCTCCTCATCACAAGAACTCTTTCGTGGCCAGAGAACAAAGACCCAGAGAACTTTAATGAAGCCCGACAATTCGTCGACGTCGCTAGTGGTAGGCTCTAATTGTTTTCGCTCCTGCATAGTTCGTTGGGTAACTGGAGGTGATATCACTCGCAGATACAAACTATGGAGCAACTATGGTACACTGTGGGTGAGCTCCTCATTTCAGGTGTTCTGCTGGTACCGGGAGCGATTATGAACTTATTCGATCATCGCTGGAATGATGTCTCGTCCGACGTGTCTCGCAGCCGTATGTCGCCTCTACATGCTGCACCTTGGCCTCCTATAGGGGCCTACGCTTTCCACAAGCGGCCCATGAAGTCCTGCTTTGTAGTTTCGGGGTGGCAGGAGGGGCAGAGCCTATTGTAAGGGAACTGTCATGGAAGTTTTTTTGCTGCGTGAGGGGGTTGACTATAGTAGTCAGCGCGCTAGAGGGAATCAAGAACTGTGCTTTGCGCCCTCAGTGCCGGAGAGACATGTTGCTGAGGATGTCGTGCCGTTTTTAAAGAGACTTAGCTACTCCACTCCTGATGCTTACGGGCAAGTCTGTCAGCGACTTGGGTGGACAACACCACGCTTACCAAATACCCCAGAAGAAGCCGAAGCCTTCGTGGCTGCCCTACGCGGTATGCCTTAATCGGGCTTAATGAATGGAATAACAAATATGTAATTATTCACAAAGAGCCGCACTAGCTCGAAAAATAAAGTTTGGCCGTAGCGCTGCGCGAGAGTTACAGCAGCATGCCACTGCTGCTGCGACTCTAACTCAGATGTAAGAGCACTTCAAGGGCCCGTTAGGAGGTGGCTGGCTGATCTTGGAGAGTCTGTTAGCACTTCCACAACGTGGAGCCAAGTAAAGGCAATCATTGATAAGGCTCACGGTGAGTGATGCAGCAAGCAGTTCCTTTTCAGTGCTGCCAGGGACACTGAATCGGCCATGATCGGAGACATAGAACCACTTTGTGATACTATGGCGGTTGCCTCAGGCCCCCACAGCAAAGTGCCCTTGTTCCTCCCATCTTCAAGTAAGCAGCACTCTTTCAGAGCATGCAACGAAACTTTCAAAGACTGCATCTTGGGCACGGTTGCGGCGCTCTCTTGAGTAGAGTCTGTGAAGCAGAAGTGTATGCTTGCCTCTAAAAGGCTGTAACAGGGGATAGTAACGTTTGGTGGCTCTGAATGCAGTCAGCAAGTATTAGATAAGTAAAAGCGCGTGCTGCTGGTGTCAGGTAAATGCCATTGTGTTCGGTCGAATGCGCTGGGCCGTTGCTACATCGATATCCTGAAAACAACAGAGGATCTTATCTTCAGACTTTCGCTTCTCCTTCCCGCGGTGCTTGCTGAGCATATCAAGCCGAAGACGAAAGATTTGAGCACACAGGCTGCGGCTCTCTGCGCCGCCGCGGGCGTCTTCGTCACAGCGTGGCAACAGCAACAAGTGGAGGCCGGACTGGAGCATCCAAACGGCCGCCTGGCCCATTCCGTTCTGATTGAACGAATAAGGAACTCGGACAAGTACTCGCTGGCTGATATAGACGAAGACGGCATAGAGAATACGTCAGAGTACAACAAGCGGACAAAAGCATTGAAAAAACATTTCTCCAGTCAGTCCTCGAAAACCTTTGGCATCATTCACCACTGTACATGGCTTGAGAGGCACGTAGTCAAGAGCTACTTCAAAGCATTCAGTGAGCTGCTTTGCCGCGTGTGATGGTGCGTACAGGCGGACCTATGAAGAAGTGCTTCAGCCTGAGTAAGTAGCGCACTAAGGCGTGACAGTTCGGGACAGCTCCGGCTGCATGCCGCGTAGACAGTACTAAAATAGCAGAACGCCGGTGCTTATTCCTTCTGTGTTTTTGCTTCAGTGAGCGCTGGAGGAACGGTTGCCCAGCAGCCGGCTGAAATGAATGGCAAACGGTTTGCTGCGCGCTCGCTTTACGGTGGCATAGCGAACACTGTAGGGGTCAGCGCACTGCATGCAGATCTCTTCGTGCAAACAATTCTCGAAGCTGGCAGCGCTATCCCCCGTCGGCCCCGCCCACCTCACCCTTTCATAGGCCTTTTTGCCGCTCTTCGTGTCAGTCAGCGGTTCAAGGATTGTTTTAGTGCCTCCCGCGATATGACACTTCGGTCATGGTACCTCATGCACATAGAAGGCGACAGTATTCTACGCAGGATAGGCCGTCACAAAGTTGCGGAAGAGATTGCAGCTGCTACTTACAATTTCGGCACGAGCCAAAGCTCTGACCATTTTGGTGAGTCAAACTTGCACTTGCATAGCCTGTATACCCAGGTAAATGGATTCTCTGTCATGGCATAAAGACTCTCTGGGAAAATTCACTATTATTAACGCTGGCTCCTTGATACAGGAGATGCACTCAAGAGCGTGTATTCGCTGATTTTAGCTGTAATCCATATCTCTTGCGAGGCCGCGCTCAATCTAACCTGCATTCAAAGTCACGGTGCGCTGTGATACGCGTTCTCTATTACTTCAGATACAGCTTTCAAGACGCTAATGGCGACTGTCACCACCCAGTGGGAAGATGCCGGCGCATTCAAAAGCTTAGTGAGCTATTTCCCCGGTGGTGAAGCCATTAAGCTTGCCGAGGTTGCGCCTGAAGACTTCGAAACTCCAGCCGATTCCGCCACAGACACCGGACTTGAATTCTCTCCTAACCTCCTCAACTAAAATGCCGTCTCCACCGGCTGATGCGGAAGCGCTTAGGAAAACGCAAAAGTTCTCAAGACTCATACCTACGCCGAGAGAAGTATAATTCAGTGCACACAGGAAACGTGGTGTGCTCTAGAGCATCTAAACTAAGAGGAAACGAGCCATTGGTGATGCATTTTTTCCCAAAATAGTCTACAAAATGTTTCTTCTAGTGTGAAAGGCATTAAACTTTATCTCTCGCGCCTCCTTCCTTGGAAATAGCTCTAGGTTTCAATTGCGTAAGCAGACGCCGCAAAAGCGCTACTTGACTGGCTTCATTGGCGACAAGTTCCCTCTTCCTGTGTTGAAAGGGCAAGTTTTGTTTGCAATGCCCAGTCACTAATGAGCGCTGTAGTCGAAATGCGTGTTTACTCCATTATCTGGCCTTCCATAGCTTACTTTAATTAGGCCTGGAGAGGCATAGATTCTTTCTGCTACTTGGTACATACAGGGTCAGGCAAACTACAAGCCTCGGGTGTACACATATTTCCAAATAGAAACACCTGCAACATCTGGAACGATGGCTCACGCAACGTTTCTATTTTCTACTTTCGTCGCCGATGCGCACCATTCTGTCCACAGAGCTTTAATGGAAATATGCACCTCTGTGTATGGTTAGACGCGAAGGCTGCAGTTCGCAAGCCCTAGTTTACATATTTTTGTCAGTATCCCTTGACTTTAGGCTGGCTGCCTTGGACATTTTGGAATCCTCCAGTCGCGGCTGTGACTTCTGCAGGTGACCCGAACCACAAGCCAGGTGAAAACAGAAAAAATGACGCGCAAACAATGCAGTGTGTTGCACTGAATAAATTGTGCAGATCCAATGCTTTGTACTGGGCACAGCCATATGTATAAACATAAATAACTGCACTTCAATCCTCCGGCCTTATCTCTATTGGGCGATATGGGCATCCTGGGGCACCGTTAGGAATCAAAAACACAGAACCCCGTTCTTCTTTATGATTTATTTCATAATTACCGTGGCATATAATACTCACCAGAACAAAATTGTGCGTTGTGGGGGAGCTGCTGTAGGAGGGATCTCCTGAGTGGCTTTTCGCCCGCACGCCGTGATGGCGCTGATCGCTCAGACTCTCGCTTGGTATCAGCAGCCCACAAAATTTAAGTCTAAGGAAATCTGAAACTGAAAAGTACAAATGATGGGGACGGTTTATCGAACCTTGCGCTTCGGCAAAGCTGGTAGCTCCTATACAACCAGCCCAGCCCTACAGCCAGAGACGGCGTAGATTCACCAACCAACAGAGAGTGCGCACACTGGCCATGCTGCGAAAATAGTAAAGCCAAGCTTCTTGTCTGCTGCCGTATTTCAGTCCAGTAATCCTCCATACGGCGCTGCTGCATTGGTCGACAAGAAATCAGCCAATTAGCTGCAGTGCTGTTTATCCCTGTAGTAACCCTCTCTTTGGTCACACCGAACATGAGTGTGAAGTGATTAGACCACGCTGTCTGTGATATAATTTTGGGGCAAGCGTACTGAAATAGGTTCCTGCGGGATATACACACTTCCAACTGAAAGCTTTTTGCGGGCAGCTCATCACACTGATGGCCCGCCGCCGCGAGCGAAAGCTGTAGTGCTTCCTCTGTAGAACCATGTTGCAGAATTACATCTGTGATTTGTACTCAATGTTCTCAGTGGCTCTTCTCTAGTGTAATTGAAGCATTAGCAACTTCAACTCCCGGGGTTCGTTCACCTTCCCGGAAGACAAGACATTCGGAGAGAGCTTGTACAAGAGAGTTAGAACACTGAATTCCATTTGATCTAGATCTAAGCTATAAGTACCGTAATAGTGAATGGGGAAATGTTCAACAGAAGGACAACTTTGTAGTTTTCAGTTTCAAAGAGGGCTCACGACAAGCCTGGACAAGGGCTGAGTGAACACAACAAAGTGTGTGGTAAGTAAAGGAAGTGTTGCGCTTGTATGTGAGGCACCCAAAATGCAAGCCATCCGCGGAGGGCCTCTAAGAAACGCATCTGTTGCTAGCGACTAGAGCTTTAACGGAACTTGACAATAGTTGGGCGGAAACGAGCGTAAGGAGAGTAACTGGCCTCTTCATCTTATCCCGTAAAAAGGCGTAGAGCGAAAAGCCCAAGACAATGAGTGACCATGCGGCTTCTCCCAGCGACCTCCCGCGTAGTCCCGATGACGGTACCAGTCAGGAAGCCATTCCTTATTTGGAGCGCGGGGTCTATTCGGAGGTTCTTAACATTCAGAAATCCCAAATTCTCCAAGTGAGATGCTCCAGCCGTTGTCTGCAAGTGATCCTTTAGTCTAATAGGTCCAAAACAACGGCGTTTGAGGGAGACAATAAAGGAGACAGTGTCTTTCGCCCGTCTGTTAAAATTATTGGACCGCACAGCTCTCCGACTGGCTTCCATGCACGAGCATACGGTATATGCAGAGTCTCGGGTCCTAGGATTAGGAGCCTGGGACTCCAAGGTATACCCGTGGGCTCCTTGTTGTTGTAACAGGCATCTATGGGTCCACCAGAGGAGGCGTGGGAACGTGATACTGTCTGTATCGCCCCGCTTCCTGCCAGAACTTTCCAGTCTACAGCCACATCTTTCAGAGGTTTGTGCTGCGCTCGCTGCTTAACGCTGACTTGCGCCTAGCAAGCTCATTCTAGCTGAGCATTCCTAGCCTCAGTAGGAAAAAGATCAGGAGTAAAATCGTCTTGGCATCCAAAGCAAGACACCGTCGTTTCTGTGACACGAAACCTATGACGTTAGTGTGCTAAAATAAGCAAACTGAGACGGTGAGAGTGTCTGCCCCTCTAGGAGAATGCTTTAAAATTCACTTGCTCGTTTTCAGGCCTTTCCGAGCCCCCACCTTTTGATACTGTCCCTGTTGAGCCAAAAGTGGTGGCAGCGAAGTTTCACGCTCCTAATAGTGCTCCTCGAAGGGTTACGGTGGAACGTAGACGAAGAGCGTATGAGGCATACAGCATAGAAGAGTTATTACTCAAGCGTGGAATCAACTACAGCGACCCAACATTTGAAGCAAAGAGCTGGTTAGCAAGATACAAGCAGTAGAAAACGTGAAAACCCTGATAGTAACCTAATGTGCCATCAGTGAGACGCAATTGGCGCGGGAAAACAACAGTTGGAAGCTTTTGTAGTCGGTGCTTTTCAGGCTGCCGCTAGAGCCATTCGATGATACAACCTTTGACGACCGTTCTCCACAAGAGTGGATGGCCCTTTGCACAGGTGCAGACAGGGAGTTTCTGCCTCTGTCTGCGAAGGTATGAAACCACTTCAACAAGGAAGCTCTCACTAGTAGGACTGCGCTCCAATAGGCCATCGGAGCTGCAGGTCTCTCTACAATTGAAGATGTCTATTGCAGGGATTACATGAACTCTTTCCTTAAGAATCAATGCCATGGAAATCAACGCACTTTATACGAACATTTTGCGTGGTAAATTGAAGCTGCCGCTGAATGTGACTGTGTCGACAGGGGCTTCGCCGAGATGGCAAAAACTGCAGATGGGAGCCTTGCCGCGTATATGCCTTCGATGATGCCACTAGCAGGTTCCATGTCCAATGGTGCGATGGAAGCACGGCTGAGTTGCTAAGAATTGAGTTGGTGTTCAAGGTATGATACACAACTAGGCCCTCGGTTTGCTCTGAAAAGGTACGGCTTGTTTCAAGAGCTGCATTCTCCTTTTCTTGCCGATGAGCCGATCAGCAGATGAGTGTGCTTTTTGCAGAGCGAAGACCCAGTCAAGTTTGCGGACAGACTACAGGCAGCTCATAAGTCAAGGTCAGTTTTACAGTTCGCATCTGCATTTTCTGCTTTGTGCTACGCGTTGTTCTCAATAAAGCCCAAGGTGGACGCAGGCACGAACTCCAACGTAACTTTACATTGTTTTTCCTAATGCTTCACAGGGCAGCTGCAGAGAGTCTTATCCAGTACAATTACTACATTGACAACATGCCTACGAGTGACGTTCCTGGATTAGGTGAGCTGCTCGCTGGGCTTTTCTGGGCATCATCGCTTCGAAATCGGCTATGCGTTGACAGGTTTAACATGGAGACATTTGGCCTGTTTTGTTCACAAAAATAGGGACTTTCCAGGTTTTTCCTTGCAGACGAAGTTCAATACAAACGCGTTTTGGACAAGGCTCTGAGCTGCCCAAGGACCCGCGGCTGCAAAACAGCAACAGTAGATTGTCTGTTAAAGGAAGTCAACAGCTGCTTCGCCAGAGCAATGAACAAAATCGCCTTCGACATATTTCTGGACAGAAGCAAGGACAAACGGTTACGAACAGACCTCCAGTTACCACCTGTCCCTAAGCCACCACCACCAGCGTGGTAAGGGCAAATGATGTGGAGTAAAAATGAGTTAAGCAACTCGCACTACACTTACAATGGAAGTTAAGTTGATTTCCTTTGCATAGATATGCTGGTATGGACAGTAGAATTCACTGTGCCAATGACAAGCAGCCAGCGCGCTTGCACAGCTGAAACAGGATGGTCCCATGCTTCCGCTTTGCCTGTATACAGGTATGCCTTGGTCAGCGTGCCAGCGTATGACTTTTCCAAAGCGTTTGCTTCCTTTTGCTCGACTTCACTTTACGTGAAAAACGAAGTAATACGGGCGATGGTCGGAATCCGTGAAGAATGTGTTCACGTGTTGGGAAAACGCATTTTTAACACATCATTTACAAAAGTACGACGCAGCCATCTGTGCCTCTCAATATGAAATGTTTCATTTCAAATGTCCTGACTCCATGAAAACACACGATTCTAGGCGTTGCAGTGTACTGATATGCCACGACTTTCTGTTCAGGCTGTAAAGCTGGATGAATTTCGCCAATTGCAGCGGGCAGCAATAAGCCAAGTACGTGCCACCAGTTCGTCGATGCGCTCCAAGAGGAACTCAGGGGACTCGTGAGGCGCCCCAGTAATTGTCCAGCGCACTGTTTTGTCTTGGTGTTCGATTTATTGACACAGGCTACATACGTTTTGCAAGAGGTGTGGACTTCCAAACTGCACCAAATAATAGAGTCAAACCTGCGTCATGTTGGTAAAGGGTGGTTCAATATCTATGAGTTCAACAAGGAAACATACGAATACGGGAAGATCAAACGGATGCTAATCTTGACCCGACTTTTGATGCGAGATGCACTTCGGTAAGAAATTCGGCGTTGCAAAGCTTTGATGTCTCCTGCTTCAGCAAAGATGCCACTGATTGTGACACTTTATTTTCCACCTATTGGAAAACTATGATGACAACATATCGCTAACGACATCTGTAGAGCTCTCAGGGAGATGACAGCGAGATCAATAGAAGACTTTGTGGAGTTATTTCGATCATCGACGCCCGATAGAGTGGAAATCACGTCTTTGTCCAGCGTAAAAAATGTGTATGAGGAATCGCGAATCAAGGCTCTAAGCCGCGAGCTCTCATGGAGAGGTCTCTTCTTCGTTGATATCACTCGCTCGCCTGACGGCACTCAGTTTATGTTGACGCCTAAGCCAGAAGCATTTGCGGAAGCTGCAGATGAATTCTTTGACAGAGGGCAAGTTTAACAGAGTGTAAAACGTTTCTCAGGACACTCGATGCCTTAAAGATTCACGTGAGTTCTCTGCCATTTTTCCACCCCTTATGCCTTCAGGATTACGAGAATGGCTGATATTCCTCAACCTGAAACGATAGTACTTCCACACCTTTTTAAAAGCCAGCAGAAACACATTGCCGCTCCATTTGCTTTGGAAGAAGTTTCAGTGCAGGTGAGTCCTCCAACACAGCCTGGTTTTTGTTCCGGGTATTTGGCGAAGTTACAGTGCCTTCCTGGAGCTTGCCATTTTTGTGGGCTTTGTGGTGCCTCATCAAGGTTTTTCGTTCATTTTGCAGCAGTAACTATATCAGATTCAGATTGGCAGAAGAAAAACTGAGGAATATTATTCTTCTGGAAGGATTTTCTGTGCCGTCGACGTACTAATTTGCCACTCCTCTATGCTCACACCTGCAGGGGAGCAAGCAGACTATTTTGACGCTTATAGAATCGCATACTCCTCATTTGAAGCAGCTGGTAGACCAATTTGAGCCTTTCGTTGACATCCTGTCCCTCTCGTCAGAAGACGTTGTAGCCGAGACGGAGCAACGAGCTGCAGTAGGTAGCGTGGCTGAAGCATTCAAGCAGGCCATTCTGGGATACCATGAGGTACGTATCATGCGCGTCTAGTGTGGAAACAAGCAGTGCGCTTTGAACATGCAATGGAGCTGAGAGCTCTTTATTTTTGCCGCGGTTGGGCTGCCTCACCGAAGTACTGGAATTCTTCTTTGGCATGGGAGTGGCTGCCTTACTATTTGCAGAGAATTGAACAAATAGAGGAGCAAATCCCCTCTTCAGTTCTAGTCGGAGTGTTCTGTGTTGGTTGTGAGGACATAAAAAGCAGCTTGAAAGCAACAGTTCGGGGCGTTACACAGCTGCTACTGGATGTCCTAGCAAAACGGTAATGCTCGGTACCAAGATGCTCTGGTTTGCTAAATACAATCCTCAGATTACACCTAAAAGAAAAACAACGATGGCCACTCCCATAGCAAGCTTTCACCTGAGAAAGCTCTTCAGCTGCTCATCTGTATGACGAGAACGTTTGAGACTGCTGCGTGCCGCTTACCTCAGCTTTCGTGAGCAGTGCACGCAAACTTTGGAAGAATTCAGAAAAATCTCTATCATTTTGAAGCAGCAGCCACCGGGAATCGACGAACTCACCGAGCTACGGGAATTCATGGACGATACCCCGGCAAAGCTGGAGGCTCTCGCAGTCGACATCAAATCAGCACTGCATATGTTCGACGTGCTTGAAACCTTCAAATATAGAGTGAGGGTTATAAATGAGTTGAAACAATTTTGAAAGGCTAGACAGCAAGCAAGGACCTCACATCAGCATCATTGACGCAGCTGCTGTAGATCACTCACGGGAAAACTTTTGCGTGTGTCACATGCTTCTAGTACAGCTTCTTGTTGAAGATCACAACTTGCGATGGAAGCTCTACGCATCTCCTGCGGAGATTCTTGAGCTCTCAAACGAAGTAGCAACATCTCTTATCAAGGACAGAGCTCGTTTTCTGGATGACATGCTGGCCCAACAGGTGAAAGAGTCAGCTTTTGTTTAATACTCCCTTCAGTATTCCCCCTAAAATATAAATTTGATGGTACTTCCTTTCCATAATGGCGCACTGCATATAGATGCAGCATTTCCAAATTACTCATCCGGCCGCAGCACAAATCGATTCTTCTGCCGGTTGCGTGTTCGCCCATACAGTGCGAATTCGCAGCCACTATTGTTGACATCGCTGATGTCGTAGCTGGATTCGCCAATTTCACGGATACATCAAAGCTGGCAGAGGTATACGATAGCGTTCTCGCCGTTGGAGAGAGGATTGACTTCAGTATTCAGCAAGCTAAAGTGTTTAACCACAGAGAACGGCTTTTTGGGAGAGAAGTGACGGACTATACGTCGTTGATAAAGATTCAAAAGGTTTGTGGACAAACATGCTAAAATTGGTTCCTGCTGGCGTTTACCAGAGTAAATCTAGATTGCTCGCTCAATAGGCTTTGAACCTGTATACAGGAATTTGAGCCGTTCTCTACCCTTTGGCGAACTGCGTACCAGTGGAGTGTCATGCGAGACTCAATTTTCACTGCTTCCTTCGCACGCTTGGACGGAGCACAAATAGAAAAGCAGGTGCAGTATACGTAGCATTGTACTATGAATATCTAACATTTGGCAATCGCTACTAAAATTTTGCGTGGTGCCGTGCGCGGTATCAACTTGCCGACACCGGGGGTGCCACACTGCTCGGTAGGCACTTTCATGTGGCGTGCCTGCGCAGGTATATGGTGGTATAAAGGCTCTTCGCCGAGTGGAAAAGGTCCTGCAAGAGCGCAACCTTCTCGCAGTGTTAGCCAAAGCCTCCGGCGTCATGAGCGAGCTTGCCGAGTTCAAGCCGCTGGTCCCTATCATTGTTTCCTTGAGGAATGAGGGGATGCGTGAGAGGCACTGGAATAAAGTAGGTTTGTTTTCTCTGATGCAGCACAGCAAGCCTCTCAGTGGTTTTGGATTCACTGTTTAGGGGCAAGATGACGCTTACTGTCAAACTCGTAAAGCATCTGCTACACTTCTTCTCCTGGATTCACAGCTGTTCGAACGTATTGGAGAACCACAACTGGACGAAGGGACTACCCTCACCTTAAACTCCTTATTGGACAAGGGTATCGCGAGCTGCACGGATTTTGTCGTGGAGCTTGGGGAGCTAGCTACTAAAGAAAGCTATCTTGAGAAGGTGAGCGCGTGCACACGATTTAAAAACTGAGCGGATTCCTGTACCTAATATGTGCCGTCAAAATAAATTAAGGCTGAATTATCCCTTAAAATTGTGGACGGCGATATGAGAAATGGAAATATGAATGCATTGCTCCTACTTTTGATAGGCTCTACAAACCATGAAGGCCGAATGGGAGCAAATCAAATTTGATTTTCCAGAGACATACAAGGACACAGATACTTACATTTTGAAAGGTACAGACGAAATCGTGGCTTTGCTTGACGAGCACATTATGACTACGCAAGGACTGCAGTTTTCGATTTACAAGAAGCCTCTGGAAAAGGACATTGAAGAGTGGGCCAATCTCATAATGACGGTCAGTGTCACAACGTTGTAGTTCCAAGACCTTGACTTCAACACTTCAGAGCTTGAAGGCCAAACTAGTAACTGCGTGAAGAGATTGTCTACGAGCTCAGGCATCTGAAACCTTAGACGAATGGCTCAAGTGTCAAAGAGCCTGGCTATATCTGCAACCAATCTTCCACTCGCCCGATATACCGAAACAACTCCCAGCAGAAACAAAGCGGTAAAAAAAAAGACAATATTCAGCTGCAGATGCGAAATGAGAACGTAAAGCGCACAGTTTTCACGATGCATGAGGCCCTCAAGCTGAATACTGAGGGATCTGTTCTGTTCAAAGTTCAGGTTCTTCACTGTGGACACTGCCTGGAGGGTTTTGATGCGACACACGTACGAAGAGCCCCAGGTGCTGGCTGCGTGTTCAACCCCTGGTTTGGCGGATAAACTTCGCGAAAACAACAGGCTCTTGGAGAGAGTGCAGAAAGAACTCCAGTCGTATCTTGAGCTTAAGCGCAGTCAGTTCGCTCGCTTCTACTTTCTTTCGAACGATGAATTGTTGGAGATTTTGTCGGAATCGACAGATCCGCTAAAGGTCCAAGCGTTCCTATGCAAAGTCTTTGAGAACATAAATGAACTGGAATTCAACTCAGACCTTGTGGCCACTGCCATGTTTTCTGCCGAAGGTAAGCTGGGTTTGCACACATACAGTCTGAGTCCGCTACTTTAAAAAGGGGCGATAAGACTCACAATTGGCATTCTTACTGAATGCACAGGCGAGAAAATGGCATTTGTCAAAGATCTCGCAACTGCCGGTAGGAGCGTAGAGATTTGGATGAGAGATTTGGAGCAGATTATGAAGCTTTCCGTTAAAAACGCACTCCATCAAGCAATAACGGACTACACCAAATGCGAGCGAACAACGTGGGTTACAAAACATGCTGGGCAATGTGTGCTGAACGGTAGCCAGGTCCACTGGACCGCCTTAGTTGAAGATGCCATTCAAACCGGGCAGCTTAAAAGCCTCATGGAAGCTCGCACAAGGCAGCTACTAGACCTGGTAAGAGTACACCGCAAGGCCAGCCATCAACTTTTGTGCCACTCATAGTGCCGTTGGGAATACGACCGCGTGAATGGAATGCAGCCAACCACTATGTTGGAAACTCCTTGTTGGCGGCTTCCACGATCTTGTTTAAGCAAAGCATTCCAGCAAACGAGAAACTATTGTTCTTTCTAGGCAAAGCGTTTGCAATGTAAATTACATGAAATGGTCCGTTTTTAAATCTGCTCTTATGCAGGTCGCACTTGTTCGAAAGGGACTTAACTCGATGCAGAGCATCACCATTGGGGCTCTTATCGTAATTGACGTCCACGCCAAAGACATCGTGCAGCGTCTTTGGGACGAAGAGGTGTCCAGCGTGGAAGCGTTTGAATGGATTGCCCAATTGAGATACTATTGGAGAGATGAAAACTGCTGGACCCAGTGTGTGCAGACTGACTTCCCGTATGGCAACGAGTACCTTGGAAATACTTCACGGTTGGTGATCACTCCACTAACGGACATGGCGTATATGACGTTGATGGGGGCTCAACAGCTTAACCTCGGTAGGCGTATAGCCCGCACCCAACTGTTTTTGTACTCTTCTTGCCACAGAAACACTAAGTCAACAGATCTACATTTTCCCTGTTTCGAGCAAACGCTCATTATTTTGCTTGAGTGCGGATTGTGCTGCAGGCGGGTCACTGGCAGGCCCTGCAGGAACCGGAAAGACAGAAACCACGAAGGACTTGGCGAAAGCTTTGGCAACCCAGTGTGTCGTTTTTAACTGCTCCGAAATGATGGACTACATCATGATAGCAAAGTTTTTCAAAGGATTGGTTTCTTCAGGAGCATGGTGTTGTTTTGATGAATTCAACCGAATCAATGTGGAGGTTAGTACTAGGTCCAGCAGAATTCCGGTTCAGCGTGCAACGCTTTTGCAACGCAGCCAATGTTTCAGCCAGGACTGTGCCACTTCATGTCTAATTGGAAGGGCCACTGCTATGCTGCCTTGTTCACTTTGCTCTATAGGTATTGTCTGTTATTGCGCAACAACTGATTGTGCTGTTTGGAGCGAAAAACCAACTTCAAGGCTACGATACGACGTTGGAGATTGATTTTGAGGATTCGCGCATAGTGGTGGAGCCTATATTCAACGTGTTTATCACCATGAACCCTGGGTACGCCGGAAGAACGGAGCTTCCGGATAACCTCAAATGCCTCTTCAGGCCTATGGCCATGATGGTAAGGCAGTGACGCTTCGCTAATGCCGATGGGCTACACAGAACTTAGCATGGCAACGATAAGTCTTGGACCCCAAAAGTGTTGCTAGGAAGGGCTAGGATATTGTTTTCTTGGCTTGACCGCCTTTCGCAAACGATAACACTTTTGGCCTCAGGTACCAGATTACTCGATGATCGCTGAAATTATGCTTTATAGCTTTGGTTTCGATCAAGCCAGGGAATTGGCAACAAAAATGGTTGCAACGTTCAAATTATCATCAGAGCAATTGTCATCTCAAGATCATTACGACTACGGCATGAGAGCGGTTCGATCAGTCATCAATGCAGCGGGGGCATTAAAAAGAAAATGCAGCAATATGGACGAACAGCAAATTCTACTTCAAGCACTCAAAGATGTGAACGTCCCGAAGTTCCTGTCCCACGATCTTCCGCTGTTTGAAAATATTCTTGCTGATCTGTTCCCTGGCATCGAAATACCCCGCTCTGACAACCAGCTCCTTCAAGAAGCACTTGCACTTCAGTCGGAGGTGCTGCGGCTGCAACCGGTTGAAGCCTTTATGCTGAAAGTGATGCAACTTTACGACACAGTTCAGGTTCGTCATGGCATCATGCTTGTGGGCCCTACAGGAGGGGGCAAGACAAGCAGCTACAGGCTGCTAGCTGCCGCCATGAGCGACCTACATAAGGTCCCCGGATTCGCCAAGGTGCGCTCAGCTCTTTAACTCATCTACTCTGAGCAAGTCAAGCATAAATTGTCTTGGCCACACGCTCCTAAGTATGAGTTCAAAAGCAACGGTTCTTCCTACCGCTTCTTATGTACAGGTGCATGTCGACGTGTTGAACCCGAAGTCCGTGACTATTGGGCAGCTTTACGGATGTTTTAATGAAACAACCCATGAATGGACAGATGGCTTGGCAGCGGCACTCATTCGCCACTCAATTCGTGACACTTCTCCCGATCAGCATTGGATCATGTTTGATGGTCCAGTTGACGCCCTGTGGATTGAAAGCATGAATTCTGTCTTGGATGACAACAAAAAACTATGTCTCAACTCCGGAGAAATTATTGCTCTAACGCCAAGAATGGTAATAATGTTTGAGGTGAGAATTATCCACATAACTTTTTAGTAGGCGAACCCAAAAAATCCCCACAGTGCTGGTTGTTAGGCTCGATTTAACTATGATAGCCGAGTACATGTGTGGCCTTAGGTCGAAGACCTATCCGTAGCATCTCCTGCAACAGTTAGTCGCTGTGGAATGGTGTATATGGAGCCAGACGTCCTTGGTTTTCGGCCACTTGTTGCTTCTTGGCTAAAGGGGCTTCCTCCAACATTCAAAGATACACATAAAACACTTATTGAAGAACTGTGCGATAACATAATCGCTGGAGCGACTGTTTTCATCAGAAAGCAATGCAAGGAGGTCATCAGGACGGTGAACTCTAGCCTCTGCGCGTCTTGTCTCCGAATGCTGGGCTCCATTTGCTCGCGCTATCGCCCAGTAGACAAGCCAGCCGATGGTGAACAAGGAGATGTGCTGCTTTCGCGTCTTCCTGCGGCCTTTATTTTCAGCTTTGTTTGGTCATTTGGGGTCGCAGTAGATGGTAAGCTGAATGCCCGCTTATCTGAGAGCCCGTTGGCTAGAAGACACAGTTGAGCAGCAGAGCGGAATATAACTGATGTGCGATGCCCCTATGAACCTTCTATTAGGCCCGAGCAGAAAGAAGATTGACGACTGGCTTCAAAACAGAGTGCGAGAGCTTGGGTTTGATATTGATCTTCCAGCGGCAGACTCGAGCTTTTTCGACTTTTGCTACGATATCAACAGCCATCGGTGGACCCACTGGGAAGACACAGCATCATCATTCATAGTACCAAAGGGCGCGACGTACGAGAATATCGTAGTCCCAACATTAGACTCCATCCGTCTGTCTTACTCGATCAGTACGTTGCTTCTAAACGGGCATCCTGTCATCTGCCCAGGGCCTACTGGAACTGGGAAGACTGTCGTTTTGACGGAGCTTCTCTTACTCTCTTTACCGGAAAATTTCGAAGCACATCTCATGAGTTTTTCTGCGCATACGCGCGTTAACCAGGTGCAGGTAGGTTTGGAGTTCGAAAAGCGCGAATAATTTGAACAACATTTGTAGTTTCGGTCCAGTAGTCCACTTGCCGCCCTTTGATGTGATTGGTAGCAATGAGCTTCAAGAGGAGCAGGCATCCCCTAGTTTTACGCTGTACTGCAGGATCTGCTAGAAGCAAAATTGGAGAAGAGGCGAAGAGGAGTCTATGGCCCAGCCGCCGGCAAAACATGCATATTCTTTATTGACGACTTAAACATGCCACGGAAAGAAGAATTCGGAGCTCAGCCTCCACTGGAACTTTTAAGGCAGTGGTAAGCGAAGAGTCACTACCGGAACGACCCAAAGCCAGCCGCTTCAAGCTTCCATTCAGTTTACGTCTCAAAGGGACATTTTCTTCCTATTTGCTGCCATGAGGCTTGTTCAGGTTCGATCACAAAGGCTGGTACGACCGCAAGGCTCTTGCTTTCCAGGAAGTTGTGGATGTTGCCATGGTTGCTGCCATGGGCCCACCAGGAGGAGGAAGAAACGAAATATCTGCACGCTTGTTGAGACACTACTGCGTCCTAGCTTTCAACGAGCTCCAAAGAACTTCCATTGCAAAAATTTTCCAGACATTAAACAAGTATTGCTTCCAGCAATTTTCTCAGAATATTCAGGTACGTTGAACATATTTCACAGCTGGACGAAATTTTCTGCCCCAACTGCTCTTGACCGCTGAATACTTTTCCGCACGGAGGACGCGGAAACTACGAAAGAAAATGACAGCATGAAGCTGAAAGATTTCCGCTGTGAGGCCACCATTGGCTCATATGACTTCATGACTGTGTCTCAAAATTGAATTCAGGCCCTCACAGACCCACTGGTATTCGCAACTATTGATCTCTATGCGGAGGTCACCAAAGCATTGCTTCCAACCCCAATGAAATCTCACTACACTTTCAACATGCGTGAAATGTGGAAGGTTTTTCAAGGACTTTCATTCCTCTCGCCCAAGGTAGTAAATGAACCACCGGCGGTGAGTAGAGCATTACGTTCTGCAATTCTTGTGGAGGTAATGCGCAGGCTAGGATCGTCTAACCATATGATAGCCTGGTCTGCGTGCGCAGTGGTTTATTTCAAGGCATGTCAGCTTCTACAAGCCTTTGATGTGGTGCAATGTGTCTATGTTGCTGCACTGAGGGAGCACCTTAAGAAATGTTTTGGTGGCATGCCCACGGCCATAAAGTTAAGGCGCTCTCACGTTGTCTTGACCCTGCCAAAAAGTACCAAACGATAAAGGAATTCTTCTTATCCCGAAATTAAGGCAAAAGAACTGGGATGTTTCAGGTTGTTCGGTGCTGGATTCATGAAGCTTGCCGCGTGTTCTGCGACCGCCTAGTTGACGACGAGGATAGAAGGTGGTTCCACGAGCTTCTCCAACAGCAAGCCAAGCAAACGTTCGGTGTTGATTTTACAAACACGAAAGAAATTTCATCTATGATATTCGCCGACTTCGTGCAGCATTCGTCAGACAGACATTACTTGGTTAGCCTAGGATCAACTTAGCAGTGTAAAAACAGATATTTTTTCGATCACCCTTGTATTGGTCTTTTTAGTGAATTCACCCGAGTACGTGAATGGGCTTTTTCTGAGCTACAAAAGCACGTGCCTGCATGTCCTTCATATGTTGGCATAGGAGGTAGCTTCTGCTGAAAAGCTCAAGCGCGTAGTCGAAGACTACCTTCAGGACTACAACAACACCTTTTCAGTTCCAATGCAACTCGTGATGTTTGGAGATGCCTGCGGTCATGTGACACGGATCTGCCGTGTACTTCGGCAACCATCAGGGCACGCTCTTCTCCTGGGAGTAAGAGGCTCAGGACGCCAATCGCTCAGTCGCCTCGCTGCCTTCATCATGGAGACGGAATGCTTCCAAATCGACGCATCGAAAGGTTCTCCACAATAAATATTGCACCAACCGTGCGGGAGTTTTGATTGCACACAGTCATAAGCTGTGAACAATAAGTGCCTGCAAGCGCAGAGGGCCGCATGTATTTTGCCAAAACTTTTCTGTCTGCCCCAATAGGTTACGGAATTTCAGAATGGAGAGACGACTTGAAGACGTGCTTTATGAAATCTGGCTTGGAGGACAAAGTGCAAACATTTCTGTTCTGTGATTCTCAAGTTCTGGAAGAAACTATGTTAGAGGACATCAACAGCGCTTTAAATTATGGAGATGCTCCCAATATATACAAAAAGGAAGACAACGAGGAAATCATGAAGGTTTGCAGGTAAGGTGCCTTTTGTCAACATTATCTTAAGCATTATTGCCACCCACTCGGTCGCGCCGCATGTAGGTGCGTGCTGGCTAGTTGTTTCATATCACAATTCTTGTATGCTTCTTCAGGGCATACTGCAAGCAGCTTGGCATGGCCCCAACAAAGGGAAACGTTTTCAATGCCTACGTAAAAAAGGTCAAAGCAAACCTTCACATGATTCTGGCCATGAGCCCATTGGGAGTGCAGTTTCGCACATGGCTGAGAATGTTCCCGTCTTTCACCAATTGCTGCACTATCAACTGGTTTTCTGAGGTGGGGCGTTGCCCTTCTTAACGCAGCGGCACCTATACAGAGTGAAGACCCAATTCCTATTAGAATGAGGAAAAGAAGAGTGCCTTCAGCTGCGTGCAGAGGTGATAGCTTGCTTATAGATGATTCACCGTTTGTCTCTGTCCTGTGTGCTGCTCAACCCTGCTTGCAGTGGCCAGCAGAAGCTCTAGTATCCGTTGCGCACATGCAAATGGAGAAAAGCGATGTGGTAGTCCAGTCGTATGAACAGGTTCTCAATGTGCTGCAAGCAATGCACAGTGGAGTTCAAAGCACTGCTGCACGATACAGGGAGGAGCTTGGTCGGACTATGTATGCAACCCCCACGACGTTCTTGGAAATGCTGTCAGCTTTCCTGCAACTCGTCCAAGCCAAGCAAGTTGACTTGGTCACTATTCAAGATAGATTTGAAAAGGGCCTGGGGAAGCTTGAAGAGACTTCCAAGCAAGTGGCAGCGATGCAGGCTCAGCTCCAAGAACTCCAGCCAGTCTTACAAGCTACGTCAGAAGAGGTGGGCTTGCTATGGATAGCCAAACAGCTAGCTTAATTGTCACCAAAAGTACATAAATTAAGTTTGTCGCCCATATATTGGGCCACAACATGCCTAGAGTGAGTCGAGCGGTGCGAAAAGCCTGTTGGTAGTGTTAAAAGTGCTATGAAGCGTCTGCGACAGAGGAGCCTAGCAGCAAAGCGATTGCAAATGAAATTACAGGTAGAAAGGACAATGATTCAAATCCAAAAGGATCATGCAATTGCGGATGAGACAAAAAAAATCGTTGCACATGATGAAGCAGCTGCTTCAAAAAAAGCAAGTGAAACTCAAGCTCTTAAAGACGATGCCCAGCGTGATCTAGACGAAGCACTTCCAGCACTCGAAGAAGCTGTGGAGTGCGTTAAAAAGTTAAAATCAGACCATATACGGGAGGTGAAGGCACTGACAAAGCCGCCATCAGGTGTCATTCTCACGATGGAAGCTGTATGCATCATGTTTGGAGTAAGCGAAAAAGCAAATAAAGCACTACCACCTTTATTGAATCTGGCACGAAACGTCCGTTCACGTTTTTCTTCTAATTTTGACCACTGTATGAAATTCTAGGTTCCTCCCGTGAAAAAACCTGATCCTTCGAGACCCGGAGTAAAAATTGAGGATTATTGGGAATCTGCTCAACATAGGCTTTTGAGGGACCCAAAGAAGCTTCTTGAAGACCTCCTAAAGTATGACAAGGTCAGTTAAACCGAATACAACACGCTTTCTGTGGATACTGCTTGAAAATTACAACCATCTGTAGCCTAACACGTACCATCATTTCGTCCCAGTGTGGTGCTAAACATTTACTCTCTCATGTGTCTTCGGCCCCTGGCGACCAGGATAACATCCCGGAATCTATCATTTCAACAATCAGCCCCTACATTGAGAGAACCGACTTTGACCCAGCAGCTATCCGCAAAGCATCTGTTGCATGCGAGGCTATTTGCATGTGGGTACGCGCGATGTTCAAGTACTACAATGTCGCAAAGATTGTGGAGCCAAAGCGAGTCAAATTGCGGCAGGCCGAATCTGAGCTGCTCGCCACTACAGAGAATCTAGAGAAAACGAAGGCTAGGCTTAAGGAAGTAGAGGATAAAATTGAACGTCTTGCGAGCGACTTCGCTCTTGCTGTTGAGAAAAAGGTGATGCAAAAAGGCCGCGAAAAGATGGCTTTCAGCTTAATGAAGGACTGAAATTTCTCCACAAGCAGAGACAAAGAAACACGCAGCCACGGTGGATCTCAAGTCTTTTTCAACCCTTAACAACCACTTGCCTTCGCTGTGGCGATGCAGGAGCAACTTACCAAAGAGATTCAGAGCTGTCAGAAGAAAATACAGAGAGCCGAACCTCTCTTACTCGGCCTCGAAGATGAGAGACAGCGCTGGGGAGAGCAGGCTCGCCTTTCAAAGGAACTTTACAGCTACATTTCAGGTTGGGCATTTGAATAGAGGGAGAGGTAGCTTCGACATAAGCAGTAGGAGGACACGCAAGCACATCAAGTATACTTCTGGTTTCTCCGCTTAGGCCACGGCCTCATCAATGCTGGAATGTTAACTTACGCCGGGCCATTCACAGCTACTTTTCGTGATGAGCTAAAGGCGCAATGGTCGGAGCTATTGCGCCTGCACCAACTACCCTTCCAGGCATCATGCGGCCTCAAGCAATTTCTTGGTATGTCACTTTATAGATTTATTAGGGCTGCCACCTGCGTCTCATCCTTTTGCAAAAAAAGTGTCTCTCTTTGTTTAATATGAGCTGTACAGGTGACCCCGTGACTATTAGGCAATGGATTGCTTGGGGCTTGCCGAATGATGAAGTGTCTATCCAAAATGGTATCATTATGGATCGCGCCAGAAGGTGGCCCCTAATGATTGACCCTCAAGTGGGCAGAAACAGTCCGCAAAAAATGTAGAGTATCAGTGAATAAGTAGTAATGTCCTGAGTGTACAAATGCTGCACATACTCGTACAAACCCATTATAGAATGAGGGAAGCTGTGCTCGTTCGTTCGTACCAGAGCCAGGCAAACCGTTTCATCAAGAGAAGTGCTAGGGCCACTGAAATTGGCTTTGAAGTTTTTAAATTGTCTGATGCGGCATTTTTGCGGGAACTGGAGCTATCTATCCAGCTTGGAAAGTGGGTTCTTATAGAAAATGTTTCAGAAACTTTGGATCCAGCCCTCGACCCGGTCCTTCTCCAGCAGAAGACGAAGAGTGGCTCAGGTAAAATTCAAGGTGGTACTAACTCACGCATGACACAAACGAAAGATTGTGGTATCGCATGCAACTTTATTGCATATAAGACAGTAATGGGTGCTCTGCGTTGAAGGCTACTGCATTCGGCTTGGCGAGAAACCAATTCCTTGGGGGCCCTCCTTTAAACTTTTCATGACGACAAAGCTCCCTAATCCAAAGTTCTCTGTGGACACCTTTGTCAAGACAACGGTCATTAATTTCGCAATCACCCCAGAAGGTTGGTTTGAGACTACTCTTCAGCCCTCACTAAGTGGCAACACACTCAGAAAACCCTTGTCACCTTAGCAGCTCCCCAAGCTTCTGGAAATACAAAGCGAACATTTGCACTAACGAATGCATTTTTTTTATTAAGGGCTAGAGGACCAAATGCTAGGCCTTGTTGTGACCAAGGAAGCACCCCAGCTAGAAGAAAGAAAAGCTGCTTTGGCACAAAGCAACGCTGACATGCGCCGAGAACTCAAAGACCTTCAAGACAAAATTCTTCAGGTTATGTCGCAGTCTCAAGGAAACATCTTGGATGATGAAGTTTTGCTCAATACTTTAGGTGCATCGAAGCAGACTTCTGAAGAGATCCAAGAGAAAGTTCAAGAAGCGGAAGCAACTGAGCGCGAGATTGACGAAGCAAGGTATGCCTTTCAGATTTGATCTCTTATGCTCAAATGCGCTTCCCAGGCAACAAAGCTGAGCGGTTTCCATTTCCTCGTTTCCTTATATTTCCACTTAGGCAGTGCTACAGGAAAGTTGCGGTGCGCTGTAGCCAACTCTTCTTCTGCCTCGTTGAACTAGCAGGCATCGAGCCAATGTATCAATACTCCCAGCAGTGGTTCCAGAACTTGATTTCCCTTGGTATAAGCGAGGTTAGTTTTTTCTAAGTAGCTCGAGGCTTGAAAAGTTTGTTTGGTGTTAAGCAAGACTCGTAGAATAACACACGTTTGCTCCTTGGGAAGTTTAGTTTGTGTGAGTGAGTAGCTTTAGAACGCCACTCGAGCATTGTTGGTTGCCACGCGGTCCTACCCTCCTAGCCAGTTGCTTTAACACGTCCATTCATTAAATATCGAGGGCACAACATTTGTGTCCGTGCTTTTTTGAAGGCCGCACCAACCCCAAATGTCGAGCAGCGCACGCAGTTGCTCGTGGACCATCTTTCCTACTTGGTGTACCAAAATGTGTCTAGGTCACTTTTCGTCCGGCATAAGCTCTTGTTTGCTTTTGCTCTCAGCTTGCGAGTGAGTTTTTCTACGCCTGGAAAGCTTAGCATACCCGATGTATATTTGGAAAGCTGTGCACTATCAAGCTGCAAAACCACGAGATGAGTAAAAGAGGGTTCGCTCCAGTAGCTTGTCGTGTCAAGAGCATGTCTGATTAGCCCGTAAATTCTTTGCCTGAGCAGGTGCAAGCTAAAACCCCAGTAGATCCTGCAGAGCTGCGCTTTCTACTGACGGGAACCGTAGCAGCATCAAGCAACACGCCAAATCCTACTTCGTGGCTTACAGAAAAGCAGTGGCAAGCACTGAGCCAGCTTTCTCATCTGCGCGCGTTTGAGGGGCTGGCTAGCACATTTCAAGAGGAGGAGGAAGGGTTTCGAAGAATTTCTGACTCCCTTCGAGCAGATCAAGAGCCACTGCCTGGCCGTTGGAAATGTCTGAATTCCATTCAGGTAGGAAACTGAAGGCTGATTCCTGCATAGGAACGTTCAACTCATTTTTCAAGCAACTTTCTTTGTAGTAATGGCTATTTTATGCTGAGCTGCAAGACTGTGTCCGATTACTGTTGCATTTTCAAGAAAATGTGCATCCTCCGGATTCTTCGCATGGATTCTTTGACCGCTGCTGCAAGCAGCTATATTGAGTCGGAACTCGGATCCCGCTTTTTGGAGCCCCCCCCGTTTGACCTAGCTCAGTGCTATAAAGACTCCACATCCCAGACGCCGTTGATCTTCATTTTGTCGCAAGGGTCCGATCCCATATCTGAGCTTCTTAGTTTTGCAAAAGATATGAAGATGAGCAGGCGATTTGAATCAATATCACTGGGTAAGACGTCTGCACAAGCTGCTCGCAAAGGGCCCCATACATGTCGGCTGCGTAAGAAGCGGTTAGCCCAAACGTTGTAGCAGTTGCCATGACCTTCTGGTAGCTTCAATACTCATGTGCTCAAACAGGACAGGGCCAGGGCCCAAAAGCTGCAAAGCTTATTGAGGAAGGATGTAACAGGGGTGGGTGGGTACTTCTTCAAAATTGTCATCTTGCCGCTTCGTGGATGAGTGAGCTTGAGAGGATTTGCGAGCAGTGGAACCCCGAGGAAATTCATCGTGATTTCAGGTAAGCCATACCACAGCAAGAATTGAATAAAGGTTCCCTGTGTCACCAAAGCTGCAGTTTTGACTTTAAATCGCCTTCCTTTTCGGTTTAAGTTGACCTTCAAATGTTTAGGAGTTTTAGAGGGCACTTAAGTTTCCGTGCGTTACTTCAGACTCTGGTTGACATCCATGCCATCCTCATCCTTTCCTGTATCCGTCCTTCAAGTCGGTGTTAAAATGACAAATGAGCCACCAAAGGGTCTCAAGGCAAACTTGCAGCGTCTCTTCGCTGGAATTGACAACCGGCAGCTCAATGCTACACAGCAGCCTACGCAGTTCAAAAGGCTGTATTTTGCGCTTTGCTTTTTTCATGCGATAGTGACGGTGAGTGCACGCTGTCGGCGATTGGGCGTTTGCTTGCTCTCTTTGAAGCTACATTGCATATATTATCCTGTTTGTTGTCATGAGAACCTGATATTTGCTCCTCAAGGGCATTCTCACGCTTTATGTATTTGCGAAATAATAAAAGTAATGAACTCTTTGACCCATAGGAACGCCGGCGCTTTGGACCGATAGGATGGAACATTTACTACGAATTCACTCAAGATGACCTGGTTGTATGCCAGAGGCAGCTTAGAATATTCATGGATGCCAGCGAGAAGATTCCCTTCAAGGTGTGGCACAAGCGCTCAGCAAAATCGTGTTTCACAACTAAAGCCCAAGCTCATTCTAGAAGCTCTATTGTATCCATGGAATTCCCAGCAAGACAAAACCAATCATTTTATGGCTTTTGACCTGCAGGTTTTGCGTTTCCTTGGTGCCCAAATAAATTACGGAGGCCGTGTCACTGATGCCAACGACAAGAGACTCATTGACGTGATTGCAGATACTTACGTGAACGAAAGGCTTATTATCGAGGTGATGCTTCGTTTTACTTTACAAAGCTAAAACTCCCTGGTGCAGGGTGCCTGACGACTCAGAACTTATCCCAAACCATTTGCCATTCTCTTAGTTTGCTTGCCTCCTTAGGGAGCTGCTTATAAATTTTCAAAGTCGGGTATCTACTACTGCCCAGAGGAAGGAGATCTTGAGGGCTTTCAAAAGTATATTCAGTCACTGCCTTCAATTGACCAACCAGAGGTTTTTGGCCTCCACGAAAATGCAAACATCAACTGCGCCCAGATGGAAGGCAAGGTAAGCCGCAGAGTTCGCAGTTGGAGAGCTGCATGATTGGGTTTGGGGATAAAGGGAATGGTTTTACTACAAACCAAAGACTTCCAATTCTGAGCTTGTTGCTTTTTGTGCTGCTGATGCTCCTCACGGTCATGATGCTTAGGAGTTACTTGATGGCATACTATCAATGGCACCAAGAAGCAGTTCGGCGGGATCAACATCTCGCGAGTCGGCAGTATCTGACGTTGCTAGCTACGTACAAAGTATAATACCAGATCTATTCGACGTAGAATTTATTCAGCAAAAATATCCTACTCGTTACGATGAATCCATGAACACAGTTGTTGTGCAAGAGTCGATCAGGTCAGTGAAACCGGTACACATTGTCAGCATAACGTATGGCCCGGAGTAGAAGCCGTTATTTTTGCGATTATTGAGCTTATTGGAATGAATCTTAGAGGGACACAGAA